GACTTTAAAATCAGGATCTCCTCAGTTGCTAATAGCAATTCCCACCTTGGAGTTTACAAAGACTTATGGGTAGAAAAGCCACACTAAGTAATTTACTACACCGCACCAACATAGTAGATCATATGGTTGTCTGATTCAAAATGGCCAAAACCAGTCCATTGCGGCTCACTAATGCCAAGGATACCAGTCTTTATGCATCCCATTTCATTTTTGACAACTCGCAATTCCCTAGATTCATACTTCGTACATTCCATGCTCCGATTATTAATGGATATTTGCAGCTGTTTCTTCTCATTTTGAGGCGTGCCACATCAGCACATGGAGGTCCCAAAAGTGCTACTTTATCCCTATCATTAAGCTCTACCTTGATGAGGCAGCACTTTCCCAGTCATATTGTAAGTGCCTTCTGACCTGAGGTGCTCATCTTCTGGCACCGTATTGGACAATGTTTCAGGGCTATTCATAAAGTTGTCCTGTAATATATCAGACAGTGTTTCACTACTATTCATAAGGTTTTCCCTGGCCAATTCTTTGAGAAGTGGATGGCTTCTTCCTTCTAAGTCTGTCTCAGTCTGGAAGGTCTGCTGAAACCCGTCCACCATGGGCAACCTCACAGCCTTCAGCCTCACAGCAACATACAAGCCACCACAGTAAGACAAACTGACAGACAAGTTTGTCTCCCTTAGCTGTTGCAACCACTCTGCTCACTTCTGGCCATCCCCTAGCTCCTGCTTCCTGCCTGGAGGCTCTTCCCTCCTTACCTAGTCCATCATGGGCCCTAGCTCTCGCTTCCAGACTGGGAGCTCTCCCCTCCTTACCTGGTCCTACAGAATGACTAGAGAAGCATATACAGCTATATAGCAAAAAGAAGTGAAAGAACTATAAACAACACAGAGAAAGTGATGATACAAGTCATGTGGCACCATCATTGGCAACACCAGATGATGTAACATGACAGGAGAACCAGTAAGTAAATGACAGATTGCTCATGATTCAGTCTTTACCACCAACATAGGACTTAAATGTTTAAACCACAGAATATTAACCTGCTGATTCTGAAATAGTTTTAGTCCCAGACCAAGTCTTGTTTGACCACTAAGTTTTATTTTAAGTTTCCAGCAAATAGGGAAGCAAAACAGATGATGAAAATAGCACTGACTTTTTTATTACTAAGGGCACCACTATAGCAACGCTGATTTCTGCTATGTATTAACACATTTTCCCTGTGGCATATTTGAAATATTACTGGAGTAGTTTCTATACTTGTCAGATTTTGAACCGAAAAACTGAGAGTTCTGCATAATCTGCCTGATTAATTTGACAAGTAAGAATAATCTGACATTACTGCTTAAAATAAAATTTCCAGAGCCCTTAACTGACTTTAAAGTTGTTATGATTTCAGTACTGGATTAAAGTTGTTCCACCAATTTAAGATGTTATATAATTCAGATTTTACTATGCCATTGCAATTTTTCAGGAAACTTTTTTGTATTGTTATAAATTATTTTTATTGTTTGCATAATCATAAGCATGTATTTAATTATAAATAAATTTGAGTATATTTGTCATTTTTAAAGATTTTGAGATATGTGTATGGGTTGTCCAAGTATACTAAAAGAAGGCAAAAGCAACACTTACTTTCAAGTTTACTGAAACACAATTATAAAAATTCAAGCAGTATGATTACTGATGGAAGAATTAACAAAATATAATTTACTCCATCAAATAAATTATACCTAATTTCAGAAGGCTTTAGCACCATAAAGATCTTATAACCACCAATAAGTAAAAACAGTAGAAGTGCACCATGAGAAGACCTCAAAATCCTTCACACCTAGCCCACTACTAAATTCAACCTAATAAATCGATTATCGGGAGAAGGCTTCCGTTATGCTCTCTTGATCTAGGAAGAGCTAGATGCCTAATGGTGCAGGAAATATAACATATGGAAAAGAAAAGAAGCTGGAAAGAAGTAGGAGAAAATGACAAGAAACGGGTAAAATACTACTTTTGGACAAATAATATCAATATGATATATATTACTATCACTGAATCAACAATGTGAACTATTATATATAGTTCAAATTGCAACCCTGATCACCTTACACAAAGAATCTGAACTAGAGAAAAATAGGAAACAACTTATCAATTTCATTTCCAAAGTAAGGTAATCACTGTAATTGGCAAATGTTCTGCTTTGGTGTCCAAAAAAAAAAAAAAAAAAAAAAACAAATTAAAAAACACCACGTCATACCCTTCTCCATTATCTCAAGTTTTGCTTTCTTATCTTCACTCTGCCTTTTACTAACTTTTGTTTGTCCTAGGCCTCCTTTCCCCTCTTTTCCCTCTTACCCATCTTAGTTATACAGACATGCAAAACTGAACAACTTTGTTATTTATGGAATTTAACTACTAGATCCTCTTGCTCACAGACATCAAACCAAGATACTGGATTTGAAATGCCCTATTTAAAAACTGCGGCACATAAATACGAGAACAAAACTGACTACCTTCGGAACCCAATAACGGAATTTCTGTCCCAAACACAGCAGCAGCACACAAACACATTCTCAAATGTTTTAAATAT